AGAATGAACTTGGAAGGGTTCCTTCCTTTTGGATCTCTAGAAACAGTGTGAGTAGAATGGGGGTTACCTCTTCTTTAAAGGTTTTGTAAAATCCAGCATTGAAGTCATAGGGACCTTGACTTTTCTTTGATGGGTGGTTATTTATTATTGGTTCAATCTCCTTGCTTGTTACAGGTCTATTTAGACTTTCTATGTCCTCCTTTGTCAATCTTGGTAGATTATATGTGTCCAGGAATTTGTCCATCTCATCCAGGTTTTCTTCTTTGTTGGCATAGAGTAACTCATAGTATCGTCTAGTGATGTTTTGTATTTTTACTATGTCTGTTGTAATATTGCCTGATTCATTGCAAATTTGATGTATCTGGTTCCTTTCTCTCTTCTTAATTAGTCTAGCTAATGGTGTGTCAATCTTAATTATGTTTTCAAAAAACCAGCTTTTACTCTCATTTATTTTCTGTATAGTTCACTTATTTTCTATTTCATTTATTTCTGCTTGAATCTTTATTATTTCTTTCCTCCTGGCATTTTTTTGGATTTTTCTGTTGTTTTTCCAATTCCCCAATGCATGATGTTAGGTTGTTCTTTTACCACCTTTCCATCTTTTTCTTGTGTGCACTAATTGCTATGAACTTCCCACTGCTTTTGCAGTGTCCCATGAATTATAGAGATTTTATACTCATTATCATTTGTTTCGAGGAATCTTTTCATTTCAGTCTTAATCTCTTCAGTATCCATAAAGTCACTCTGAAGTAGGTTATTTAGTTTCAATGTATTTGGGTATTTTCTAGGGTTTTTCCTGAGATTAATATCAAGTTTAATTCCATCATGGTCGGAGAAGATGCTGGATATAGCTTCTACACCTTTGGGTCTGTAAAAGCTGGTTTTGTGTCCTAGCATACAGTTAATCTTTAAGAAAGTATCATGTGGAACTGAGAAAAATGTATATTTTGTGTTTTTTGGTTGAAAAGTTTTATAGATGTCTACCTAGTTTATCTGATTTATGCTATCATCTAGGTCCAGAATCTCTTTGCTTTTTATCTTGTTTACCTGTCTAAAGGATATAATGGGGTGTTGAAATCTCCAACAATTATTGTGTTACAGTCTATCTCTCCTTGTATATCTAGCAGTCTTTCCTTTACATATTTAGGTGCTTCTGAGTTGGGTGCATAGATATTTGTAAGTGTTATATCTTCTTGGTGAATTAGTCCTTTTACTAGTATATAATGCCCTCTTGGTCTCTTTTTACTATTTTTGTCATAAAGCCTATTTTGTCCAAAATAAGTATAACAACTCCTGCTCTTTTTCGCTTTTCATTTGCATGGAATACCTTTTTCCAGGCCTTCGCTTTCAGTCTATGTATGTCTTTTCCATTAGATGGATCTCTTGTAGGCAGTAGATGGAGTGTTTCTAATGTTTAATCCATTCAGCCAGTCTATGTCTCTTGATCAGAGAATTTAATCCATTAACATTTAGCATTATGATCAATATTGGTTTTCTTCAGCATGTCCAGCTGCATCTGGACATAGTACATCTGGTTTTCTGCACTTTTCAGCTCATCATCCAGCTCCAGCTGTTGTTGTTTAAATCCACTGTATTGCCTTTGATACTGAGCTTCTTCCTGATCCAGTCTCTCAGCCTCAGCCTGGACCTTCTCAAGATTTTCTGTCACCACCTTGCAGTTCTTTTTCACATATTCCAGCTCCTGGATTAGCCCCTCCACCTCTAACTCCACCTCTTTAACACCATCTGTAGCTGCTCACTGTCATCCTCATTCATTTGCTCTAAGATCTCCAAAGAGCTTTTGCAGTTGTGACATTCATTTTCAGTGATGTTGAGCTGAGTGTCCAGCCAGTCTGAAAGTATCTGTGCATTCCTCCACAATGGGTGATCTACATCTGTCTGACCCAACATGATGTCAACAAGTGAACTTCAGTCTTGAGCTGAGGTTCTCCATGGTGCTGCCATAGGATGGCTCTCAGATTAGAGCAAAGCTGTTGGCTCTTTCTGTGGACATCATCCTGGCTAGGGTAATGAATCTATGAGAGACATCATCCTGATGAGTTTCAATAAGTGGCTCCTATCCTGAGTTAGCCTCTTCTTTCTGGGACTCTTCTGATTTTGTCTGGGCTGTGGCAAATAATGGAGCTGTGAGCTCCAGGATGGTAAAACAATTCAGGACCTTGGAGCTCAGGTCCAGTTTTGGAGCTGGTTTCAGTGCTAGTACACAAAGCTCACCTGGATGGTGCTGCTGGACATCTTAGACCCCTTCTTCTCCCAGAATCTTGGAGCCTGCCACCCAGGTCCAGTCTACCATGAGGACACGGTGGCCTTGGGTCTGGCTGGCCCAGAGCGAGGCCTCCATTTCTCCACCCTGTTAAGATTTAGAGCTCACACATACACATGCCTGGAGTGTTTTTCAAGTCACTAGGGCGAAGACTTGAACCATGATTAGCTATGTGGGGTCAGGCTTCCCTTAACCACTAGGCTATGGGGATGCCTATGGATAGAGTGTTTTATACATGTGTCTTACATGTAGGTTGTTTCTAGCATTGCTTAAATTCTCCATTTCCTTATTGATCTGCTGTCTAGTTGTTTTTTCTATTTATTGAAGATGAGGAATTGATGTCTCCAATCATTATTGTAAATGATTAGCTATGTGGGGTCAGGCTTCCCTTAACCACTAGGCTATGGGGATGCCTATGGATAGAGTGTTTTATACATGTGTCTTACATGTAGGTTGTTTCTAGCATTGCTTAAATTCTCCATTTCCTTATTGATCTGCTGTCTAGTTGTTTTTTCTATTTATTGAAGATGAGGAATTGATGTCTCCAATCATTATTGTAAAACTCTGTATATTTTTCTTTAATTCTGACCATTTTTGAGGCTTTTCTGTTATATATA